AATGAGAGTGGATTTGGTCACAAATGAGAGAAAGGAAAGTTTTTTTATTTGAGACCGAAGCCGGTACTGGTGAACAAAGGCTAGTGAGCGAGAGAGAGAGAGAGAGAGAATGTCACGAGAACGCTATTAAACACCAAGGCTTTTTGGGAACTAAAACCACTTTCTCCTTTCTTCTTCTTCACTCAATAAACAACAAGGTTGACATCAAGAAAACACAGACACAATGGAGGAGATCAGACACATACACATGATACATACATACCCATCTTCGTATCATTTGACATTAACTATACCATCAACTTTTACATAAAAATTAAGTGAAATATTATAAGTATTTTTTTATGCTGTTCTCTTGTCTCTGATAACATGTATAATAAAAGTTCACAGTTAAAGTAAACATATTAATATTCACATCATTTTAAAAAATTATTATTATTAGTTATTTATCGAGCTAAAGTTAATAAAATTCTAAAAGAAATACTCTGATGAAATTGTTAAATATATACTAATAAAAAATTTGTTTTTAATCCTAAATTGATCATATGAATAAAACTTTAATATTTTTTTTATTTTAGAAGAATATGTATTTATATTATTATATGGGTATGCCGTCTGACAATATAGAAACGATGAATAGTGAATTTGAACAGGGCAGGGTGGGTCCCACATGCTTTGTGAAAATTTTGTCCCTGTCTGTCTCCGGCGGGAAGAGGCCACCCAAAATTTGTGCCGATTCCTCTCTCACTTTCCATTTTCCAGCACAAAGGTGTATGGGTCCCACCTAATATTTAAATTTATTCAAACTAACTTGTAAGTGCACCAATGGTTTATTATAGTGTCACATGTGATAAAAATTTTCTCATTTTTATTTTTCAGTGGTAGAATTTAAAAGTTTGAGTTCTTATTGCTTTTTGCGAATTTTATTAAAATTTTAATAGAAAAATATTTTTAAAAATTATTTTTATTAGAGAATAGTACAATTCTTCTTCTTAGTTCGTGATTAAACAACATTTTTTCAGCGTGAAATACTCTTGTTGGTGATTATAATGATTCTTATAGAGAATTAATTTTAAATTCAAGAGCTATTTACAAGAATCACAAGTAAAGATGTTCTAATATATTATTTTTTAATAATTTAAGGTAAAATTAATCACACAAAAATAAATTAAAATTATCGATTTCACCTACTATACATTGAAGCTAAAACACTGCATTGAAGTTAAAGTAGAGTAATAAATGTTAAATGTAAACCTTCCCAAATAATGTTTGTCAATGGAATTTTTTTTCCTACCTTTCTTCAAATTACATTTGGACTTGCGTAAATAGGGTTAAATTTATTATTTGAAATTTTGATAAAAATTTATTTATGTATAGAATTATTAAAATTTTAACCATTAATTTTTTAATTAATTGTTGTTCTTTATTTTGTCCTTGGAGAATAGCTCGTTTCTACTTTTACCAACACTTCACTTGTAGTAGCAGTACCTTTCCAATTATATTTTGTTAAATTAAAATGGTTTCTTCGACTCTTACTTTTGAGTTATTTTTTAGTACTACAATTATTTTTTTTCTCTTAGGAATTATCTTATTGATAATTATCCTATTTATGTTTTCCAAGTTTATTAAGTTTTGACCAATATGCTTTAAATGGCAACCACAATCTAACTGTCCCGAATGCTTTATTTTTTCCAGCTTTCACAACATATTCATCAGAGTATTTAAAATATAATTATATTTGGTTAAACCATCCCATTCACTCCAGTAATGTTCATTTTATTTCTCTTAATATATAGAGATATTAAGAGATAAAGATAAAATTAAAAATAATAATTAAATTAAAATAAAAAACAATAAGCTGTGTTTTCTTAATTTTAAAACAACACACAGTTTAAAATAAAATATTTTAAAATAACATTATGATAATTATTAAAAAAATAACTTAATTATTAACTTTAGGGTTATTTGAGTGTTTAGAAAGAGATAAATGATGGAAATATCTTTTTAAATTCTGTTATAAAGTCACCAAAAAACATTTTTAAAAAATAGATTAGTTGAAATACTTATGGCCATTTTTTATTCTAAAATTTGTGGCTTTTGATTGTGTGTTTTAAAATTACAAAAGTAATGAATTTGCAAATAAGGAAGTTGTAACTTGTAAGGAAGATATTTGCAATTTTTTAATTAAGAAGAATGTAAGTATAATTATTGCTAATTTTAACGGAGGTTGGTATAATTTATCCCATTTGATCTATATGATCCATTAAATAGAGAATAAATCCAGATTATTTTATAATATAACCAATAATTCACTAAATAATAAAAGCATGTTAAATCATATTATTAATGTTCCTCATTTTATATGAATATAAGCCATTTACTGAATCTAAGTGCGTGTGTTCATGAAAAAATTGTTTTCCGAGAAACACGCACTTAATGATTGTGGTGTTAGAGAATTTAAGATAAGTCTTCTTTGCAATGTCAACTTGTCTACAAATGGTGCTTTATAATAATAATTAATGATACATAACTATATAGATGTCCACATTTGTGTACGTAAACAATTAACAAAATAAAATGGACCCTTTCAGAGTTAAGAGTCTAAATCATATACCAATAAATATATATATATATATATATATATATATATATATATATATATGTATGCATATGTTATCTTAATGGCCAAAGTTGCACCCTCTCCATCTGTCGATTGTGCCGGCTAAGGCCTGTAGAATGTAGAAAAATTGAAAGACAAGTGTTTCTAGAGATTGCAAAGGGATAAGGAAACAATGGGTTCAATTAATGTGTAGTTATATGATTCACGAGAATGGCCACTGAATGAATATTTCATACCCACTTTGAGTTACATTATGCAACTGCAAACAGCTACGTCCTTGTTTTCATTTCTGCATAAAACTGTGAAAACTTACTAGAAGCCAACGTTAGGAGTTACCCTACACCCAACAACCAGAACAGTGCAAAGCTAGAAGAGTCTCTCGGCAATAAAGATGAGCATGAGAAAGTTGAGGAGCAATGATCTTTACTTATCAATTCAGTGGTCCAAATTGCAATAAAAGTGTAAAATAAATTGGGTGTCTTTGAAAACATTAAAAATCATGTAAACTTGGGTTCAAAGTAAAAACTTTAATTAATAGAGTTGAAGTATAGGTTTGTTACTAATTATTGGGAATCAAAACAAGCTATGAGTTTGGTCAAATGATGGAAAATAATTGGTTTAGGTGAACTTTTGGCAACAACTTAAAGAAAAACATTTGAAATAGTTATAAATTATTTAAAGAAAGGATGATAATTAATTAATTAATAAAATTTAACATCTTTTGCGCAAATTAAAGGTCTGGTTTGCTCCATACTTTGTTTACTAGAAACTTATCAGATTTAGAGAATGAAATGAGTAATGAAAAAAAAAAACTTGAATTGCTAAAACTTCAGGTAATCATAAACTTTATCTACAGCTAAATTAGTTTTTCTTGTAGGGTCTTGAGTTTAGGTTGGAAATTCTCAGCCATGATTGTAGTATTATGCATTTTATGAACCATTTTTCTTTATTCGATCCATTTTATTATTATTTTTCAAAGACTGTACTACATGATTGTGGAAACTATGATGTCAAATTGGAAGCTCTATGCTGGCCCATATAAGGTTATTCTGCTGAAATTTCCAGGTTCAATATGTTTGTTATAAACAATATAGTACGTAGCTGGTATGATGACTGTGTTATAATTCATGGCTTTTTTGTGACTCAAACAAGTACATGAAATTATGCTCTCATAGAGTTAGTTGAGCAAACAAAAGGTTTGGTGTTTCTCAGATTCTAGCGATTGCTTTGCCAATTCCACAGTGATTTTGAGTGGATTGTGCCGTGTGATTACAATTAGCTGCCTAGTATGGTTTTGTGTTTGCCCATAGATTATAAAATGCTTCAAATTTTATTGGTTCATTTCGTTCATTTAAAATCTTGGATGAGCATGTCTTTTACCTTAACAACACAGGAATGCTTTATTTTTTTCTTATCTTTAGGGATGGAAAAATTGGACACAAAATCATCTATATAAATGTCATTATATTTTTTTGCTCAATCTGAGGCATATGTATGGTTCATGGATAATAGTTCTCTTAAAGTTTTTTTTTAATGCACAAGATTTAAAGCTCTAAGTTTTACTTAAGGATAATAAAGTAGATTCATTTGAATCAATCGCTTATTAATATATTAAGCCATTAAATACATTGTAAAAGTTTAATTTGTTGTATTACCTACTTATTGTGTAAAATGCTTATGTTTTTATGATAAAATTCACATTCCATGGATATGTGGTTAAAGCATTTTTCTACATTAACTTAAAGTGTTTTACTCGGTATAGAGAAAATATTAAATTGTTTCTTAAATTATTTTTTTAGATTGGATTTTGAGTTTTTCACATTTGTACAGCATTAAACTCTATCTTTTGGGCTAGACTGAAGGTACCCATTTGGGCCATCTCCATAAACTTATATTATTACACTAATTTATTATATTTTCCAAATCAACTTCATTTCTTGACCAAAAAAAAAATTAAAAAAAAATCAACTTCATTTAACACTTATAACGTCCAAACTCAACAATGGATAGATAAGGTTGAAAAAGGCCTTTAAACCAAACAACTTCATTATAATCAGATAAATATATATAGTAAAATTTATAATCAGATAAACTAAGGGAAGAAAATGAATTAAATTATATTTAAAATTAATAATTTTTAAAAATAAGAAATATAAATTAATATATTAACAAAAATTTAATATATTAATAATGTATTTATCATCTTAAATAATATATAATTCTTTTAATTTAAAATTAAAAAACATATCATCTTCTCCTTTTTCTTCCAAAATCCTTTTCTCAATCATATCTCTAAATAATACTAGTAGTTTATATTTATAATTAAAGAAAAAAGAAAAAAAACCTTGAGCTGCTTATTGGTTTAAAATAATATAGTGAAAGCAAGCATGGAGATTGCAGAAACCTGTTGGATATATAGACGCGGACGCAGTTTCTGAATGCTATGATTTCGAAGTTTTGACCTTTCATTCGCCCTTTTCCATTCTCGGCGGAACCACCCTCATGGGTTGCACTTCCAATTGCATCCCCTCTCTTATATCTTCTCTTCCATTTCGCCGCCGCACTCCGCCTCCGCCACCGCCACCGCCGCATTTCGCCGCCACCCATTTCCTCTCCCTTCACTCCAAACAATTATTCCCTCCTCAACCCTTTCGCTTTTCTGCCCTTTCTCTCTTGTCACAAGGCAGTGGCAGCGGCGGCGGCAACAACAACAATGGTGGTGGTTGGGGTTACCCCTTTGACTCCGATGATTCGAATTCCGATTCTTTTTCAGATTCTCACCACACCCTTTTTATTTCCTTGCTATGCTCTTCCGCCATTTGTTGCTTCTGCCATTTCTTTATAGTAAAATTTGCAAACGCCACTGAGAATCATGTTTTGTCGGAATCAATTTGGGAAGTCAAAGGTGGCAAGTGGACCAGGCTTGTCCCTGATCATGTTAAGGATGCTTTTGTTACTACACAATCTGGGTTCTTTTCTGAGTTATCGTCCCTGAAACCTTCACAAGTTCCATCCTTTCTGTGGTTCAAATGCAGGGACCTTTTGATGAGGTTGATGCTTCCTGAAGGATTTCCCAATAGTGTGACTAGTGATTACTTGGAGTACTCTCTTTGGAGAGGAGTTCAAGGTGTTGCTTGCCAGGTTAGTGGGGTGCTGGCAACCCAATCCTTGCTTTATGCTGTTGGATTGGGAAAAGGGGCTATTCCTACTGCTGCTGCTATTAATTGGGTTCTCAAGGATGGAATTGGGTATCTCAGTAAGATTATGTTGTCTAACTTTGGTCGCCATTTTGATGTCAATCCTAAAGGGTGGAGGTTGTTTGCTGATCTTCTTGAGAATGCTGCATTTGGTTTGGAGATGTGTACTCCTGCTTTGCCTCATTTTTTTGTACTCATTGGTGCTGTGGCTGGGGCATCTCGCTCTGCTGCTTCGCTGATTCAGGTGATGGTAGTATTTTTGTATGTGAATGTGTAGGAACACATGGACCACCTGTTTTGCAATGTCTTTTGTTTAGATAGTGTTGGTCTAGCCTGTTGAGTGTTGTGTAGAAGCGATGCCTTAGTAATGATTAAATTTCAGCAATTTTGGTCTTAGTATGAGTAGAAAAATTTAAATATGATGGGTATTGAAATTAAGTGTTTAAATGTTATTTATAGAGTCGTTGTGCTTCCCAACTACTGAGTGATATTGGCCCAGTTGGTTTCATTCCCATTCATTTGCATGTTTCTGGCATAGTTATTATGTGATGATTTGAATCATATATCGAATCAAACAATTTGGTACAATTTAGCTAGACAGTGATTTGTATTTTGTGATGAATCGCCAGTGACTTTGAATCTATATGGATGAATTAGCGCAGTTCTGTATTACCGCACCAACACAAATCATATCATTCAGTGATTTTTATTTTTATTTTCCTTTTTTTCACCATTTCTTATAAAAAAAAATTGGAAAGTTAAATGAACTAAAAATTTCCAGAATTGATCCTAAACTATTTTCCAATAATATGAAATTTGTTTCACTATATCTGTATATATTTTCAAATATTTCAATCCACACGTGTTGCTTTCCATTCAATGTTATTAATTCCAACTTGTGGTGTTCCCAAATTAAGGGACATAATGAAATGATTGAAATCTACATCATACAATTTTCTGTCTGATTGGAGTGGGGTGAATATGTGTGTAAAAACGAATCTATTTATGCCTATTTGGGCTCCTCTGTTTGCTTTGAGAACATTGAACTATTTAGGCATTAACAGCTAATTGAAAGTTGGAGCTGTTTTTTTCTTCACAGGCTTCTACCAGGAGCTGTTTCTATGCTGGTTTTGCTGCTCAAAGGAATTTTGCCGAGGTGAAAAATAGATCCTTTCTTTTCTATTAAATAGGAGTATTAAGTTAATGATGTAGCACCACAATCGCTTGGTGTTTTGTTAGTTTGGAAGATCTCCATCCAGTACTATTATAAGTGACATGATTCTTTGGTATTTATTCGACACCTTCTTGTTTTATTTGTTGTTTTCTTTCTGAAATAATTGTAAATTGTAGGTAATTGCTAAAGGTGAAGTTCAAGGAATGGCGAGTAGGTTTATTGGTATCATACTTGGTATAGGATTGGGTAACTGCATAGGCTCATCCACGCCCCTTGTTCTTGCTTCATTCAGTATCTTGACTTGGATCCACATGTACTGCAATCTGAAGTCATATCAGTCCATTCAATTACGGACTTTAAATCCTTATCGTGCAAGTAATTTATGATCTCTGTCTTACTCTTGGAAGCTGTGTGTTCTATTACTCTTTGGAAAGTATTTGCCTATACCGTTGATGAGATGTTAAATATTAGCATGTATCTTCTATGTAGGTTTAGTTTCATTATAAAATCTTGGAAGTTCTTGTAGGTTGCAATTATACTGCAGTCTTATAGATGTTGTTGCAATCAAATGTTGGACATGGAAACCTGGGTTAGGGGTTGATTCGTATGTTAAAAGGTCAAAACTTTATGTCTTCTTGTTGATTATTTGAACAGGTTTGGTTTTTAGCGAATATCTGCTGAGTGGCCAGGCACCTCCAGTTAGAGATGTCAATGATGAGGAGCCACTGTTTCCGGCCGTACCCATATTTAATGCAACTTTTGCAAATAAAGTGAGTTAATCTTGCTTGCTTGTGTTGAAGTTATATGAATTTTAAACCTTTAAAACAAAGCTCCTATCTGCTTGCTAAAATTAGATTGATTTATTTACTTCGGTAATGGATTTTGTAATGTTAAGGTTCTTTGTGGCTTCTTCTTATAGTATTTCCCAGTTTGAGCTGGGGAGTATCAGGTCACATGACCTTCTGTCCCTTGCTATGATAACTTGTGGGGAATGCTACTTATACTTTGGCAATTTTTTAGAGTTTAACATGGTCATTGTTCTTATGCCACTGTCTTCCCTTCACTACTCTTGTAAATGTGGATTGAATCTAAGAAGTATTAAACATAAAACACGTAGTACTTACCCAATTTATGATAATGCTGTATGCTCTTCTCAACTTACTGTAAACTCTGTATTTGTGGGAAATATCTACACTAACATTATATCATATATACTCTTCTATCATCAATTGATTAGCCTGCTAGAAGGATGTACAAGTGTCAGAAATAATTTGTATTATGTTTTGCTTGATCTGATTTGCACGTATTATGGCTTGTTCACTTTTTGATAGGCACAATCAATTGTTTTATCTTCTGAAGCAAAGGATGCAGCTGCAGAAATTGAATGTCGTCTGCAGCTTGGATCCAAGCTCAGTGAAATTGTCAACAGCAGGGAAGATGCGATTGCTCTCTTTGGGCTTTATAAAAATGAAGGTTACATCTTGTCAGAGCACATGGGAAAATTCTGTGTAAGTGAACAACTTATTTTCCTTTCAAAATCTTTGGATTGTTTTTTCTTGTCCTAGTAAGTGGGGTGGGGATGGTGTGCTTTTCCCGTTGATATATGTTTTTGTATAATGGGTATGCTCAAGTGTTTTATTTTTTGGGTGGGGGTTGGGGTGGGGGTGGGGGAAGACATTTTAAAGATAAGAAACAAACGTGTGCAATGTTTTAGAATTAAAAGGATGGATTAACGTTTCGTTTTAGAAAGCAATTTTACAAAAACCTTTCAACTGCTATCCTTGTTTTTGGTCCCAACTATTGTGGAGTAATGGTTGAAAAACTTATATAGAGGGGGGGTCCAAATGTGATGAGATTTGTAAAGAGCACTGAAACGAGAACTGTGCTAGTCTATTGGCGGCATAAGACTACATCTTCATTTTTATCTTGTAGCTTTTCTTTTCCTTTCTGACTCACTCTGATCTATTTCTCTGTTTCCAACAATAAATATTGAAAACTTTAGAGGCTGAAGCATGTTGAAGTTTAGTTGTCAAATTTACTTTTTCACAACTTGAGAGGAAATTATAGCTGCAAACATTTGCCATTGTTTCACGGGTCCTAATAACACATCTTCCTGATTCAGGTTGTGCTTAAAGAAAACTGTTCACAACTAGATATGCTCAAGGCCTTGTTCCAGGTCAACTACCTTTATTGGTTAGAGAAGAACGCAGGAATTGGAGGAAAAGGAGCCCTTAATGATTCCAAACCTGGTGGGAGGTTGCATATATCTCTGGACTATGTGGAAAGGGAATTCAACCATGTTAGAAGTGATGGAGAATCAGTAGGCTGGATTACAGATGGGCTTATTGCTAGGCCTTTGCCTAACAGGATTCGCGAAGGCAACACGACAACCTCCAACTCAGTGAGTATCTGATATGGCAAAAAGTCTGGGTGGTTTTCATTCATGACCCCTTGCATAGCTGCATTGCTTTCCATGAAGAAGCAAGTTGGAGTCAAGATGTCTTGGAGATCAAGGGCATTGGTTTGTTCTTTGCCATTCTTGAGTAGGGTATCCCACGCTGCATAACAATGCAACTCAGTGAATGGCAGGTTGACAACTACCAATAGTTGATGCCATGATGACATGGTGCGACAAAAACCGCAAGGCCAAGATGCTCAATGAGCCTACCCTGTTGTCATTGTCAATGAATGGATTCACCAGAAAACCGTCAAGTGACTGGGAAACGCATAGAATTTACTCGAGAGATTGCACCCAACTGACAGATATACATTGAGATGTGTTCCTAAATATCAAGCTTGATACCAAATCTGTATCTAATACATGTGGTTGGCAAAACTCGCAAATGCATTTTCATCCACAAATTTGCTGTTTCTTAACCAATATAGATTTCTCTTGTCCCACAAATGGTACAAATGCTTTCATGCCACTGCCTGTGTATTCTGCAAAATAAATAAGAGATTTAACAATTTGTTGAAGGTAACACAAAATAGACAAGATTTATAAAAACCAAAATCATCCCCGCGACGTAAGGTTTACATTTATGATAATTTCAAACATGTTCGAATTTACATTGAAATGATCATCAATTCACGTTTACTTCATCTTATAATTTTTGGGTTGATTCCATGTTTACACGGTTTCCAATGAATTAGCAAACATTCATGAACACAAGATCATAAATTTACCTAGCCGCCTCACGAAAAACCGAACATAAGAACTCCAGAAAGTAGTTACTGATACACATTCGCCTAAAACAGTGAGTTGTTAAGATGAAGGAGGAGATAGAGGAACTGTGGGATGAAGTGAGAGAACTGAGTTTAGGAAACAGTGAGACAGTAGAAAGACTTGAATCACCACCGACACCACTTGAGTTTCTCAGAAACTTCATCAACCCAAACAAGCCATGCATAATCTCCAACGCAATCACACACTGGCCAGCACTCTCTTCATGGGCCCACCACTCCTACCTCTCCCAAACCCTCTCCTCCGCCACCGTCTCCCTCCACCTCACTCCCACCGGTGCGGCCGATGCTCTCACTCCTCTTACCTCCTCCCCCTCCACCCTCTGCTTCGCCTCCGCGCACGTCCAGCGCGTGCCTTTCCCCCAAGCCCTTCGCCTCATCTCTTCTTCCAACCCCTCCAAGTTGGTGGCTTACGCGCAGCAGCAGAACGATTGCTTTCGTTCTGAGTATTCTTCTCTTGCTTCGGACTGTGATCCCCACCTTGGTTGGGCCTCCGAAGCTCTTGGGTCGGTGCCCGAAGCTGTAAACCTCTGGATTGGGAACCAACACTCTCAAACCTCGTTCCACAAGGATCACTATGAGAATCTCTACGCTGTTGTCACCGGCGAAAAGCACTTCCTTTTGCTGCCACCCACCGATGTTCATCGCTTGTACATTCGTGACTACCCTGCTGCCACTTATACATATTCTTCGGTATTTCTTTCTTTCAAGAAAATTTACAATTTTAGATATATTTTGTGTTATTTTCATGCCATAATGTTTTCCGTTTATACAATTTGGTTTGCAAAGTTATTATGTTACTAACAGTATGTTCATATTTTGTGTTATTTTCGAAGACTGATTTGTATATACTTCTCCAATTGCGTATTTTATTCTGTTACTTTTAATCTTTTTTGTTAATGGGGTGTGGGTTTTACTGTTAAAAGAGTCACCTTTTGGAGCTGTAGGATACCGGGGAGTTTGATCTGGAACTTGATAAGCCAACGAGGTATGTGCCTTGGTGCAGCGTGGATCCTTATCCTTCTGTAGATAACGTGGATGCTGAGATGTCCAAGTTTCCTCTGTATTTCAATGGCCCTAGGCCGTTTGAATGTACTGTGAAAGCTGGCGAGGTTCTCTATTTGTAAGATTCCCTTGCTATGCATTTACACATCATACATGTGCTTTAATCTTATGTTTGTCTTTCTTCTGTTGAATATTCTTTATATCTGTTTATTTCCAATGTTTTGCTGATTTTACTGTTTATCATCTATTGGAAGGTTTGCATTTACAATGCTGCACACCTTCTATGACATGATAAAATTACTGCTAGACAATCATACAGCATTTACCGAGGCATGCTATCCAGCATTTTTTGCCATCCAACATGAGTGAATGTATGAATTTGATGTTCTTTTTGTAGTGTATTCTCAGTTGTGTTTTTGCGCTCCTCTTTTAATCCCTAAACAAAGAGCATCTGCATTGCACAAGTGATCTGATGTAGCAGATGCCTTCCAACATTAATGGAAATATTTTGGCAACCTTGTTAGTGTGTGTTTGGATTAGTGTCAAATCTTATCCATTCCAACGCTACTACAAGTTGTGGTTTTCATGTTTGAAACGTGATTTTGATTAGTTTCCAAACACACTTAGGGAACTTGGGATTACCCAGAGTTCAAATCCTCTCTCATCTTTTTGTTGAGTATATTTTCTATAGTATATGCATGGTAATGCCCAGCCTCACAGAATGGAATTAATGCAGGCCTAGTATGTGGTTCCATCATGTTAGACAGAGTGCCAATGATGGAGGATTAACTATTGCAGTAAACTATTGTAAGGACCAAGCCTTCCCTTTTCAGTTGCATATCCAATTTTAATCAGAATTTTTATGCTACTTTATTTTATGCAGGGTATGATATGCAGTTCGACATTAAGTATGCCTATTTCAATTTTTTACAATCAATTCAATACCAATCTACCCCAAATCCAAAGATGCATGAGACATTGTCTGAGGAGATTGATTCAGGTCCTGATGATTATGACTCTTGATGAATTCTCGTTTCTCATCCCGCGACAGGAAACAATGAGGGGAAGCATTATTTTCCAAAACATGCAGCTACTTATTCGTTATTGGCATGACTTGTGCCAAATGCCACCACAATTTTTGATCCTTCATTTGTATCATAGCTATCAATTTTCCCCGTTAGCATTTACTTTTCCCTCTCTGTATGTTGGGGGGGGGGGGGGGGGGGGGGGGGGCTGGGTGGGGGTGTTCTGTAATAGTCTTGTTCAGTAAATTGTCCCAAAACAAGCACCTATTTTTTCTTGGACAATTGTTTTGTAGTTATTTTTTTTGTACTGTTAATTAATTAAAATTAAAATATTCTTAAATGAATTATTTACATTTAATGTTATCACATATTATCAAAATAAAATTATAATTTGATAGATAAATAACATCCACATCATATAAAAAACTGCACCTAAATTTACTTCGCCAGTTCTAATTGTTTTTCACGTTTTCCAAATCATTCTTCATCATACGAACTGCCAAGTGCCAACCCATTGTTTTAGGTTTTATCCATTTGTATTATGCCAAATCGATTCACACTTTACTATTTAATGGCTTTTTTCTTGCGAGATTTATTTTATGATTGTGTATGCCTCTAGCTCAATATGATTGGTGAAATCTTCAAAAAAAATTTCGTTTTAAAAGTTAATAGTAAAATGTGTAAAACATTACTGTGATGGTATTTATTTAATATTTCATTTGATTTAAAATAATTATTTTTTAAGGTTATGCAAGAATAAAAAAATCATTATATATATATATATATATTGATAATGTTAAGAAAATATAAATTTATGTAACTGTACAAGAATAAAATTCAAAAGTAAATACTAAAACTTTTTAAAATTTAATTCCCGACAGTTATTTTAAAATATATTTTTTTCAATGCAAAGGAAAGAGAGAAGACAAGTGAAGAAACTAGACAGAAAAGAACACGTAATTGAAAAAACAAAAAACCTGAATGAACAGAAACTCGGTAATGACAGAAGACAGCATATACAGTAAGTCGTAGGTATTCTTTCCACAATTCCACTTGAAAAATGGAACTGATCACCACACCGCTTGTAACGGCACCCACCCACTACTTATTTTTCGACGAAAACTTGGATTTAAAGAAGAACAGTAACATAACTTGTCCTTCTCTCAACCACCAACTTGAGCTTCGACTATCCCTACGCCACCCCATACATAACATCCCTCATCACACTTTCTCACAACCCCTTAATCCTCAAACAACTACTTTTAGGAAGAAAAAGAAGAGAAAAGGGGCTACAACTTCTGATATCTTACACTTGATGGATGCTCTACCATTTCCTATACCCATCGACATCTACACCTCTTTGATCAAAGAGTGCACTGATTCTTGCGACCCAGAAACTGCACTTGAGGTGTACACACACATCATCCAGAGTGGCATTAAACCTCCCTTGTCTTTTATCAATCGGATTCTCATAATGTTTGTGTCCTGTGATCTGTTGGAAAATGCACGCCAACTGTTTGACTCAATGACTGTGAGGGACTTCAACTCTTGGGCAACCTTGTTTGTTGCTTACTATGATAATGCTGATTATGAGGAGGCTACAGATGTTTTTGTCAACATGTTTGGCCAATTGGGTGTGTTGGAATTTCCTCCATGGATATGGTCTTCCCTTCTCAAGGCATGTGCCCTCACTGAGAATATTCCTTTAGGAATGCAAATTCATGGACGGTTGTTAAAGTTGGGTTCTTTTGATCATGTGCTTGTCAGTAGCTCCTTGATCAACTTTTATGGGAGATTCACAGGCCTGGAAGATGCAAGTGTTGTGTTCAATGGAGTGTCCCGTCATAACACCATGACTTGGACGGCTAAAATTGTCAATGGTTGTAAGGAAAGGCATTTCTCTGAGGTTCTTGGTGACTTCAAGGAGATGGGAAGGCAAGGGATAAAGAAAGACAGCTTTACGTTTTCTAGTGTTCTCAAGGCATGTGGGAAGATGCTTAATCATGATCGATGCGGCGAACAGGTCCATGCCGATGCCATGAAACTTGGGCTGGTCTTGGATGACTATGTGCTGTGTAGTTTGATTGCCATGTATGGAAGATGTGATTTATTGAGAGATGCAAAACAGCTGTTTGAGATGACCCGGAATGAAAGAAAGGTTGATTCCTGGAATGCTATGCTTATGGGTTACATACAGAATGGTTTGTACATTGAAGCTGTTAAGTTTCTGTATCAGATGAAAGAAGCTGGAATCCAGCCCCAGGAATCTCTGCTTAATAAAATCAGAATTGCTTGTGGAAGTATTACATTCTCAAGCATGAATTAGACATGAAGTAGATTGTACATAGACACAGTGCAAAGCCATGAATGAATAGTTTTTATCCTTTTCAATTTGCTTGAGAGTTCACATATCCTGAATTATCACCGTTCTTTTTGTTTCTAATGTATAATAGTTTTCAATCACAAAAAAGTCCTTCATACAACACTAATTTGAATTCCGCATTGTGGAGTATAAATTAATGCGTGAGGGAGAGGGAATCTGGTTTCGGGGGAAAAAATGATAGCTTGATAAATTGATTGATGCTAAAGGATATCAGAAACAAGTTGTAAAAAAAAAAAGAATTAGAGTCAAGTTCTACTGCATAAGAATTAGCGTCACTGTCAAGCACAGGGTTAAACTTCATGCCAGTGAGACTCAATTTACTGTGAGAAAAAGCGGTTGCACTGGTACTAGTATGAAAACAAATTATTCTAACTTCCATTTTTTGTTTTGCTCAATACTTTCAAGTTAGTTTAATGGAAAATAAGAGTGATTATAATGACAAGATATGACATAAGTTTAGGCTAGTTACACACTACTCAATGATGCAATAGCTTGTAAGCGAGCTAATTGGTATGATACTCTTCATAATTAACAGAAAGACAGAGGAAAAGGTGCGAATCAGAGATTTGAGAAAATCAAAAAGTAATCACAACCTTATCTAATTGCAAAACAAACACTTGCAAGCCAAGGGATTTGAATTTGTGTCTTGTATAAATAATGGTGATCAGACACCTTAACCACCCTTTAAATGAATAAATGTCAAACGAACTATTTGCATGAATACGTCATTTTTATGAATACTTTTAGTTCACGCACCTACTTTTATTCACTATAATTTTTACCATCAAATTTCAAAAGTATAATTATATATCCATCAATATTTCTACACGATTTTTTTTTTCCCTAAATTGTATGAAATTTACCAAGATTCATTGAGATTGACTTCTAAAACATACTACCATGACAATTCAAGTTCTGCACCATAAACTGGAGAAAAGAGAATAATTCAATACGCTACGAGATTTTGCTTGTAAACGAGACAGCGAGTGAGAGAGTTTAAAACATCATGTACCTTGTTAGATAAAAAATAATTTTAACAGAACATGTACTTATAATTTTTTAATATCTAACAGTAATTGAACACAACGAAAAAAATAGAATAAGTATAATGAAATGAAATAAAGTTATTATTCTCATTCTATTTATTTTATTTTAAATAATTTAACAATAAGAGTTATCATATTAGTTTTACTTTATTTTATGATGCAAACATAAGGAATTTCAAGTGATGTGAAGTGTGTGTATTTTAAAACAAAGTTACTGATAGTAATTTTTTTTGTCTCACAAAGCATGATTACAAGATCAACATTGTCGGAGACTGAGGTCCACCTCCATTCATAAGCTTCAATTGACTTCATGGGTACACTCAAATTTTGAAAAGGAAAATAAAAACATTTAAAAGTTTCTTATTGAAAACATATTTGCGCAAGTTGACGAGATGGTGAATCGCTGTGTTTATGGAATCACTACATAACATAAAGTCGCATTCGCTTAATTCTGATGGTTTGTATCGGTGGGGCGTATTCAACCATGAAAATTGACATCTTACATATCGAATATCACAAATTCAATATGGTTTGACAGCAATTTTCATATATAATCATTTAAGGGAAGTTGGGGCCACAGAGTAAAATGGTAATGGATTTTGTAATCCACCAATAACTTAATTTTGAAGAAATAGTGAATCACTTAGCCCAATCGCTTTCTCCTAGGGTTAGCATCCCCACATGGCCACAACCAAATGGCTTCAAACTTGAAAGTGATTGCTACGGAAGCCTTAGACAGACAACTTGTATCTGTTTGGCCCATTTGTGGGGACACATTATTCTGCCAGGTTTGCCCATATTAACAAGGCACCATATTATCCTTATGTTAGCTCATGGATAATTGGGTAGCTTATGTTTTGTAATATATATATATATATATATTACAAAACTCAGATATAATATTATAAGTATTTTTATGTTATTTTTAAATTAAAGTTATAAGTTTATTTATTTTTACTAATTCACATAATAGAGATCAATACTAAAATTTAATATTATCAAGCACATAGGATTGTTCTAGCTTCTTACTTGATTTAAACAGGATTGTCTCTAATAAGAGATGATCTAGACTAAAGAAATACTAAAATTTAATACATGTTAATGAGGTAAACCTCTAATCTTAATTAAAGAAATGCACAAAAAATATTTATAAAGCTGTACCTAAATTTTGTTGTTTCTTGGTTGGGATTGTTAGGGCGTGTCTGGGGCTCTTCTGTTCTGTGTTACTTCTTTGAGTCTTGTGATTTGCACTGTTTTGGTTAACTTTTTCAACAAAATAATGTCGTGTTTCAAAAATTGCAAAGCACTTTATATATTAATACTAAATCAATCCTCAATTCTAAATTGCAATTTTGTTAAAAACAAAGCGTTACTGAAAAGATCAGTAAGGACAAAGTGCACTAGAAAAGATCAACAAGGTGGGGAAGAGGAACAACATAGAAATTATAGTAATGATATAATCCTTGATTTTATGGTATATTTCCTTAGTATTTATCCAACGATAACCGATCCAATTTCTGTTCCATTTTAAGAATCACTCAGCTTGTACAGAGAAAAATAAGGAAAATAATAATTGTGGTCACTGCCTAAACCAAAATTAATATCGAACAAAATGTGGTTAGGAAATCTGATAGAGGCCCTTCTATTTTTAGTGGCTGAAAGAAAGTTGAACCCTTAGCGCATTTACTAAGGATTCCAAATGAAAATATCTTGATTCAACTGCAAGCTTCATTCTCACCATACAGCTGGACCATATGAATCTTTTAATTCTAACATTTTTTTCCCCTGCTTTGCATAATATGATTAACCTCTTCCGTACATAGATCTTGACCCATGTCCAGTCATTTATGATCGTTAGATCCTGTGGCACTATTAGATAGTGTCATTGCTAGACCAATATACGATGTAATTTATACTATTCTATTGTAAGAAATATAGTCTTATCCCAGTAAAGAATAAAGAGAGATATTAGTACCAGATGCTTGTTTGCTCAAGATAGCAACTTTACAAAAAGAGGATGTATCCCTTACCCTTAAAAGAAGAGTGGGAAAAGGAAAAGAGAAATTGTATTTTGTTTAGAAATAGTAAATATATATGAAAAAGAAACTTGTGATATTAGATTGTTGTCTTATGCCACAAGCATTATTTCACAGAAAAATACCAAATATTTTAGTTAGATGTTTAATTTCTCTCCAAACCTTTAATAACAAGGTATCGTTTGTCTTTGTCCACAAGCATTATTTGAGGTAAAATTTTAAATGTTTTAGTTGAATCTGGATTTTTTCATGTTCAAAATTAAACATGAGATTTTTTCATGTTCAAAATTAAACATGAGAGTTATGGCAATGTATTTTTATAATTTTACTTAAATAAAATTTCATTCGCTTAAATGAATATATAAAAATATACTAACATTGACCTTCATATTTTTTGTTTAAGCAAAATTATAAAAATACACTGATATGAACTTTATGTTCAACTTTCAACATGTGAGATTTTTTCCGTTTTAGTTATATGTTTAATTGTTACCTGTCAAGAACCAGATAGAGCCACTATTGATGGTAAACTTTTTCCACCTACAGTCGAATGCAGTTATTGCATAAAAACTTTATATTCTACCTTGGCAGCTCAATTATGTATAAAAAGAATATTTTGGTAAATGTTTATAATCGACCACTTCTGGTCTCCCCTTTTTCTTGATCATTTCTTTCATTTTTACAATACATCGTGTTATAAATACGTATATTTTCCTTGAATTTAACACCAATTATATTTCAAAGTGTGAACATATTAGTCTCACTGCCCTCGAGAGAGAGCATCATTTCTTTCCATAAATGACAACTCCAACACACGATAAGTATCAGAGAGTAGTGGAGCTCACTCCATATCATTAATCATTACCACCTACTCCTCCTAAGTTCTCAACTCATAATAATCAATGATGCTCCCAAAACCCATCATAGTAACAACACCACACGCATCTTCAAACCTCCCTCTCCCTCTCCTCAACATATCCTCCGTCAGAACACAAGAAAAACCCAAAACCCAAACCATAAGAAGAACCACCACCCCAACAAAACCCACAATTGCCCCTCCACCACCCACCACCACCCAAATAACCAAAAGAAAAACCGAACCCTCAGTGCCATCACTAATCTTCAATGCATTCGACGACATCATAAACAACTTCATAGACCCACCACTCAAACCCTCCGTCGACCCAAAACACGTCCTTTCACAAAACTTCGCCCCCGTCGACGAGCTCCCTCCAACAGAATGCCGCGTCATACAAGGCACGCTTCCACCGTGCCTCGACGGTGCTTACATCAGAAATGGCCCAAACCCACAGTTCCTCCCCCGTGGACCCTACCACCTCTTCGACGGCGACGGCATGCTCCACTGCCTCCGGATCTCCAAAGACAAAGCCCCCACCCTCTGCAGTCGCTACGTTAAAACCTACAAATACAACACCGAAAACGACGCCGGTTTCCCTCTCATCCCCAACGTCTTCTCCGGCTTCAACACCCTGGCCGCTTCCGCCGCACGCGGCTCCCTCACCGCCGCAAGAGTCTTAACCGGACAATTCAACCCCTCTAACGGCATTGGCTTAGCCAACACCAGCTTAGCTCTCTTCGGAAAGCGCCTCTTCGCACTCGGAGAATCAGACCTTCCTTACCAAATCAACCTAACCCAAAACGGCGACGTTCAAACCCTTCGTCGTTACGACTTCGATGGCAAACTCGTGATTAGCATGACCGCACACCCTAAGATAGACGCTCACACCGGCGAATGCTTCGCGTTCCGTTACGGCCCTGTTCCTCCGTTTCTCACCTTCTTCCGTTTCGATTCAAAGGGAAACAAACACCAAGACGTTCCTATCTTCTCCATGACGCGACCTTCGTTTCTTCACGATTTCGCTATCACAAAAACATACGCCATTTTCGGTGACATTCAACTCGGAATGAACCCTCTCGACATGATCTTCGCCGGTGGATCTCCGGTCGGTTCAGACCCTTCCAAGGTGTCCAGAGTGGGGATTCTTCCCCGATACGCCACCGATGAGTCATCCATGAAGTGGTTCGACGTGCCGGGATTCAACATGATCCACGCGATCAACGCGTGGGATGAGAACGACGGCAAAACGGTCGTTCTACTCGCGCCGAATATTCTCTCCATCGAACACACGCTGGAGAGAATGGAGTTGGTTCACGCCATGGTGGAGAGAGTGAGGATCGACCTCGATACCGGGATTGTAACGAGGCAACCCGTGTCGGCGAGGAATTTGGATTTCGCGGTGATAAACCAAGCGTTCCTTGGGAAGAAGAACAGGTTCGTTTATGCTGCGGTGGGAGACCCAATGCCGAAGATCACGGGGGTGGTGAAACTTGACGTGAGCAGAGGGGAAGAGAAGAGGGACTGTACAGTGGGGTGTAGAATGTACGGTGAAGGGTGTTACGGTGGAGAACCGTTCTTCGTGGCGAGGGAAGAAGGTGGTGAGGAAGATGATGGGTATTTGGTGTCTTTCGTTCACGATGAGAAGAAGGGAGAGTCGAGGTTCTTGGTGATGGATGCCAAGTCGCCGGAACTCGATGTTGTTGCCACGGTGAAGCTTCCCCGGCGGGTACCTTTTGGTTTTCATGGGTTGTTCGTGAAGGAAAGTGATATCAGAAAGTTGTCTCTGTCGTGAATGCCACGTCATGGATCCATAAATAGTATTACAGAAAAATTTACAGAACTAGAAGAAATAGAATGAGATGAAAAGAAAAAGAAAAAAAAAAAAAAGGTATTTGATGATGAAGATAACATTATTTATCCACGTGTCCTGCAATGCACTCTCAGTTCAATCGTCACTTCCATGAACATGTAATTACTGGCACGTATGTGGGTAGTGGATAAAGCTAGTAAATGAAGGAACAATTATTCATGAATGGGATGAACTTTTCGTCAGCGTTATAAAATATTTTCTGCTGTTAAACATTATCTTATTTTAATTTTATTTTTTATGATTGAGTTTAAGTATTTATAAATATTTTTTTATAAAAATATATATAATTATTATATTAAAGTTATAAAAATATAATAAATATTTTTTTAAAATTTTACTATTATTAATTATTTATCTTTAATTTTAAAATTAAAATTAATAAATTTTTTATTTTAAAATAACTGTTATAAGTGATAGAGTGCACCGACAAAATTGCAAAAGGTAATTGTTTTTCTTTTTTTAATCTTTGGTTTGTACTTGAACATGATATGCTGAACCAATTTTTATTTTTAAATATTCACACTTTTATTTTTGAACTGAATTTTTTTTAATAAGATAATAGTCAACTCCTGTCACAAGAAATTTATAAGCATTTTCGTTTAAAAATTTATATATCTCAAAATTGGAATGATGTCAAGAGTTTCAATTTACTTGTTATTTCATTTAAAAAAACAGGTTGCAATAAGTATTTGTAAATTTTTATCATTTATATCAAATAAATTGTTAAGAATATTAATATGATAAACTATTTAAAATAGTTTATAAAAAGTAGTTTCAGTAGATATATCATATTGCATTGGCTGATTTTTATTTTTATTTTTAAAACGATGCATTTGTTTTTAGGACATTTTCCCCCATTTCCATATATAATTTGGTTCAGTTTGTTTATTATGAGTGTAGTTATCAGAAGGATCTTATTGACTTTTACATTTTTACCATCATATTATAAATAAATTATTTCTATATAACATTTAATTTGATAATCTAATGTGTTTAGTTCATTATTTTTAAACACGAAGTTGAATATTTTATTTTCATAAAATTAATTTGTTTCAAAATTTTATTCAAAAGCAAAGAAATTAAGTTTTCCTCATTGCTTTTTAAAATGCATTTAAAAATTATGTATATGTAAAAATAAAAAATAATTATATACAATATCACACATTTTTTTAATTATTAAAATAACGTAACTAAAAAAAACAACATTAAAATGATTTTTTTGGATAAAAAATGATTGGTTCAATACGGTGGTTTTACTTTTTAGAATGGGTCCCACCAGTTGTCACTACAGATTTTCATGGGATTTGATTCGTCCGATGTAGGCTCCACCTGTCAACAAACAACGCAATTTAAATCTTCTCTTTGGATGAAAAAATAACATAAAATTTATAAACGCCATACAATTGAAGCTTCCTACAACATCTTGTAATCATGCTTTGTCAGACAAAAACAAATCTCTCAGTAACTTTGTTTCAAAATACACACTTTAAATCATTTGAAATTCCTTATATTTGCATCATAAAATAAAGTAAGTTATAATAATTCTAATTTTTTATTTGAAATAAAACAAATAGAATGCAAATAATAACTAATACTCAATTGCCAGTAGATATATAAACACAAATGTAAAGTAAAAAATTATAAGTTTAATTATTTTTTTTTTTATCTAACAAGATACACAATGTTCTAAACTCTCTCGCTCGTTGTTTTGTTTACAAGCAAAATCTCGTAACGTGTTGCATTATTTCTGTATTAGATAGGACACTCTTTGGTCCTATCCATCCTGCGGACCTACTTGTAAGAAAATGTAAATGAGTATCCCTTCAAGCTAACATAGTCAAATACCCTATGTCAAAATTAAAATATAATTAATTCAATTAACAGTAATTAACAGATCATTATTTATCTTAATTAAAGAGTAAAAACCAAGATTGACTCAACAAGCCTATTAGTCCATAACAATGCCAATAAAAAGAATATAAAAAGTACAGATAAAGAGTTGACTTTTCAATATTAAAATAACATTTATTGTTCAGAACCAAATTCTGACTTTAGCATCGAAGTACCTTTTGTAGGTACCCTTATGACGTCAGGCCACGTCAACAACAATCAGAAGAACGTCACCATTTCAGAGTAAAGATTCGAAGACTAGTATTTCTTTAGTAAGAATTTCTTTTGTGACTGTAGATAAACTATTTACAATCTAAATGAAATAAATTACCTTAATGTCACTTTTTACCTTACATCCAAAAAGGAATAGTGATTAATTGATAACATTTGGATGAATGGAAGGGGCAGGGTAAGGTGATTAACTCCGATGGCAAATAACAAACATAATGGAAAATTGGAAATGCTATAAGAGCATAGCAGTCAGTTTACAAAAAGTAGAAGTTGCTTGCAAAATGTGAAGTCAATTCAGTAGCTTATTTGACGTATAAGATGTGAGTAATGTTCTATGTTACAACTTCTCCCTGAAGTTCATCTTTACCAGTTGATTTTCCAGGTCATTGTCAGTCACCAATGAAACAAGCATTATCTGTAGTAATAACAGTTAATGAGTCTAAAGAATGGCATAAGAACAATCGCAAAATTAACTAATCATGGCAATATTATGAAACAAAATCCTTTCTGTGCTTGTTAGTCTTTGATGCTTAACTTCCGAAGGCTTAGGGGCACCAGAAAAACTAAACAGCAAAGGCAGAACATGGAGACATCAAGGAGCTACACTGAAAAGTTGGTATAGATGAGCCGATTCCCAGAATAAGAGGGTGCTTGTTTTGTTTTTGCTATGCAACTCGTGGAGGAATCCAGTTTAGAAGTGAGCACCAGGAGAAGAAACTTCATTTGGAATCAATCAATCTAGCTGCATCTTTAGCCCCCGTCATCTCCATGACAAAAACAACTGAAATGCTAGGACAGATAAATCTTTTACAATTTGTAGTTTGAGAAAGGAAAAAAAAAACACATATAGAAGGACTTTGAGATATCCCTTTTATGAAGTAGAATAATCTTTACTGATGACAGTACAATGGCAAGATGTTGAGATTGGTAGCTATGTACAAGTGCAGTCCAAAATTTACAAACTTAGGGGAAATGTGTGGGAAATCTTTAATATATGAGGAGTTTGTAACAACAAAAAGAATTGTTTTACTAATACTCACCTACAGATGTTACAAAAAGGATTCCCATGTAAACTTTGATAAAGCAAAACTCAAAGGAAAGATTGGTCTATTATTAAAAGGATTAAGTTATAAAAAAGATATTAATTTAATCATACCAATGTTTCCAGAAGTTGATGCCCTAAACCTGCACCAGGTGAGCTTCAGCCAATGAGGAAGTCAGGTCTTCTCGAGACTGTGATCTCCTACTCTGCAGACGCATCTGACTTCTGTGGGGGGACCAGAAGGCACCCATATTACCATTGTCAAACTGCAACTGCCCTAAACTGTTTGAGGAATAACTATGTGAGACGCTACTAGTTGAAAGGTATAAGGAAGATTCCATAAGCTGGATGCCACCACTGTTGTTGTCAAGACCATGCCCCAGAGCAAACGGGCTTTGTTGTGAAGCAGCGATTGTTGGGCTGAGAGGCATCTTTATTTTTCCATCCCCTGCAGTACCATACGTGTAAACTGGCTTCAAAGGTCAATTCTACAAGGATACATTATACAGAATCCACAAGTCATCCCAAAGCAGCATCTTGGTCATAAATTTACAAAAAACACACAAATCATGCACATAATAATGAAAATTTCAGGACATGTACATTTGGGATAGCTGCAAGCTTTGATCCATGACGAGAACACAATAAAAAATTGCCATGATATACAAGTGAATGGTGGCCATTATACTGCATTTAATAGTACAAATTAAAAAGAAAACAAAACCAGACCGATCCATAACCATTAACGAAAACCTTCGAATGAAAAAGTTCGTCCGTTTTAAGTTGTTGAGTTATTAGAAATCATCAATCGTATAAGTTGCTTACCAGAGCTCATTGGACTCCATCGCTGGAATCGAAATGGAGATGGTATATTAAGAATCGAAGCACTGGAAACACTGTTATGCCTGGAAATGGGGAGATATTGCCTCCAGAAAAACCTTGGCATCCAATTGCCAATGCACGATAAAGCACAAAGAAGGAGAATAAAAGAAAGCAACAAAATGGGAATAAGAAAAAGAGGATTTATCTTCATCTGGAGCAATTCAAAGTCACGAAGCCCAAATCTGGAGGAATATGCCTTTCCAGCTTCCAACAAGGCAACCCCAAGTGTCCAAGTGATACTTCCAGAGCCAACACTTATTTGATCATCAGTAATGTGTAAACCCTGTCTCAGCAGCGAGGCAATGTAGGGTGCCCTAAAGCAGTACTGCTCAATAAAGGGTTGAGGGGCAACACTTTTCTTCGCAACATCCCACTTTTTCTCACAGAAATCCTTACCCTTTGCCAACACATCATCAAGCGTGGCCTCAGAACTCAAGTTGAAAAACCTGTACACAACATAAAATCCAGAAATCACATAAAAGTGGCCATACGGGCGAGGGAGATTATCACGCAAAGCACAAGGCTGAGCATCACAATCAAGTGCCAGTCGTCCCGTGCTTAAATTTGACCATTCAGACAAATTGACAGCAACTTTTGCAAGAGCACTGCATTGCTGCCAATCCGGAGCACCAATAAGCACTAATGGAGTTCCTTGCCTACCCAATTGTTTCCCATTATCAGAAGAACAACGAGAGCACGTGTATTGCTCCTTATACCCAGAATGCAAGCAAGGATGTTTAAGCTCTATAATCTTGTCACCCACATCAACATTATTATATCCAAACTCCTTCCGAAATAGATACACCACAGACTTACCAAATGCTTCATTGAGACCATACCCAGGAAGAGAATAAGCAGTTAAATGATGATTCACCGATCCAATCCTAACATACAAGCTAGTCTCACTATTCATCTGTTGATCACTCTCAAACGTAACCTGCAAAGAAGAACCACCCAAGTCAAGTGCACCATAAGTAGCCTTCCTAGGCCTAACACCCAAAACACCACTATGATAATTAAGAGATATCCACCCAAAATAAGCTTCCTCAGTGCCAGAAATAATCTTAACCCAATTCCTCTGACACATAAAAGGAGAGTCCTTTAATACGGACCAAGCATTATCCAACAACCATCGAGACTCATTCACATGAAGCCTCCGAACACCAGCAGTAGCATAAAGAAACAAAGAAGTAGTCTTATGAGCACGCACCGGAATTTGCTTCTTCGCATACCTAATCAACGGTTTTAAAGCACCCTTCAACCCAGAAACATTATGCACCAATTTATCAAGCCCAGGCTCGGTTTCCATTCGATCATAGGCACGCCCGAGAGGCTTCTTGTGCAAGCCATCCCGCAATGACTTAATAGCCAATGGAAGATTACTATGGCGCGTGAATTGAATTGAAGCGTGATACACATAAACCCTAGTGCCAGTACTCCCACAATCGAGCACAACGTAGTAGTTTCCAGAAGCGTGATTCCAATAGGAATAAACGAGGATGAAGATGAGGTAGGTAAGGAAGAGAAAGGAAGTGAGGTAGAGTGTGAATTTGATGCATTTGTTGCGAGAAGAAGGGGTTGTTAAAGGTTGGAGTTTGGGAAGGGGTTGAAGGTGAGGGTAAGAAGAGATATCTTGGAGAGAGGAAGAGATTCGCAGGTTGTTGGTAGAGAATCCGAAAGGGAGAGAAGAAAGCATTGCATTTCGTTGAAGATAGTGAGTCAGATTTTAGGGATTTGTAGGGCTTATGAAGGGTTTCGCCATTTTGGAGTTTTGAAGAGAAAAATGCTGTGAATTGGAATTGGAATTGGAATTGGAATGGATCTCTGTGAGCGTTGTGGGTTAGGTATTGAAATAAATGGGGAAGATGACCATTTTGCCTTTGACTCTCCAAAACATTAACAACAAAAATTAAATAATGAAAAGAAAATAATATAATTATTATTTATTATTACCATTGTTTATGAAAACGGTAACGGGTAGCAACTCGTAACTAGTTTGATTGATTGATGCATTTTTTATTGCCTTAAATAAAAAATTTTGCATAGAAAACAAAAGTTGTTGAGAGTTAAATTTATTATATTATGAAATAAGATTATTTGGTGTCAAGTAGTAATCTAAATAAAAAAAATGGAGTATCTTACGGCAGAAATATAAAAATGTAAAGATAATATTTAAATAATTAGTTTAATTACAAAATGTTATTTGATTAATAATAAAACATACATTAAAACATAAAATACAAATATTTTAAACTTTGACTTAATATTGTTTCAATGATAATTTAATGACATTTTGATAGTAATTTGCAAATATTTCATTATGTTTTAAAAGGAAATTCATAAATATCTTATGATATTTAATGGTGGTTAAAGAAATTTGAATATTAATTTAAAAATTCAAATTTATTTTAATTAAATAATTAATTAGAATTTTTTTAAAATAAATGTTATAAAATAATAAAGATATATATTACTATGTCAGAATCGTAGTATATAAACAAGTTATCTTATTTTAAAACACGAAAAATCAAATTTATTATATAAAGATAAATTAGAGTAAGTATCAAAATTTGTTTCTAAAGGGTTTGATAACAATCCTAAAAATTGCAAATGTTGGTTATAAGATTTTTTTAAGCATAAGACACATCAGTTTCTGAAGAGTTTCATGTTTTATTATCATTGATCGGCGTCGCTATTGGTATTACCGTATTACGTAATTAACGTTCCTTGATATAATTGTCGCTTCACTCCTCGCCTTATAAGCACCCTTTTTCTTCGGACTTAATTCAAATTCAATGAAAATTAAAAAGGTGTTAACTCAGATTGTTATATTCTTCAGCCATAAAATTACCAAACCAATTATAATTATAATATTTAAGAGCAAATGGAAAATCGCATTTCAAAATTGCTCTCCAAATTAATTTCAAAATTCAGATGTAGTTTTAATATGACAACGTGTAAAATTTGTCCTGAAATAATAAGATCACACATTTACGTGACCAAATTCAGATTTACATATAAAAATGACAGCAATAACAGATTTGAGAATCATGAGACCAATATTTACTTAGTGTTGGCGTTCAATAACTCATTTCCTTAGTCTGATGACTTTGGATTTGTTGATACACTGGAGGACCCTGGAAAAATAAGACCCTTTTGATATGCACTTTTTTCATGAATAAGGGGTTCAGCGACCCAAGAGGCATGAGGAGGAGTAACTCCAAAAGTTGTCTGTCTTTCTCTATAAGATGCCCAAGTAACCATATATAGACCGGCAATGATAAAAGATCCCCCTATGATGCTGTTGTCACAAGGATATAAAATAAGAATAATAATAAACTTCTGAATTAATTTCAACTTTATTAAGTTCAATAGATAAGGCATTTTATTATGTCCTAACTAGTAAAATTGTTCCAAAACATTAAGTGGTGGATTGGATTGCAGTTTTCTTTTTTCCCTTTCCTTTAAAGAATATCTTAGCCTTTAGAGTTGGTGAGTAGGTTTGTTGTCACTTTAAGTTAGAATTGAATGCATAAAAAATAAGTGGGATAATAGGAGCTATACCTTCCTAAGTAAATTGGACTTCCGAGGAAAATTTGGGAAAGGATGGCAGAAAATGCAGGTTGAAGTGGATTATAAAGGGCAACCAAAGCTGGCCCCAAGATCTTGTTGCACCATGTGATGAGTCCATAGTTGAGAGCAGATGCAATTGTTCCCTGGACAAATAAGGAAATTATTTATTAAAATCTACATGTTAAAAAGTCCACCAAAATAATCTATTACTTATAAAATCATCAAAATATTTGTAAGAAGTCAGAACATAGAATATTTCAATCTTTTCAGCCGTCAAAATAACCTCGTTGCGTTTCCCACTGTGCTGATTGAAAGAATGCAAGAAATTTATAAAAAAAAAAATTCTGGGGGGTTTTCATGTGCTTCCCCTAACCACATGCAAAAGACAACCTTTTCTTCCAAAAGTTTCAATTTCCATAATACTAATAGTAGTGTCCCATAACATTAAGCACCTTGATTAACAAATTTATGATTCTAACTTCATTAAGCAAGAATGAATTCCTTTACCAACAGTCAATAATTAATAGCTGATGTGTTGATAGAAAGAATGTAAACAATGAACAGGGGTTAAGCTTAGAAGACAACTCCAATAATTCAACGTAGTAAGATAGATCAAAACAATCAACAATAACTAATAAGGGCTCATGAGACTGAAGATTAACTTAAAATTCTAGTGACTCACAGCATAAATAACAGCTAGTATTTCTGATGTCGTCAAACTCCAATCAGTTGACTCGTTAGTCATAAATAATGACACTGTCACCATCAGTACGGCTCCAAAGAAGTATGAATACGCTGTGACAGATAGGTTTGCAGGATATTTTTTCAATACTGGTGCCTGAAGATAATTAACGGCAATAAATTAAATATGCTAATAGTTTCATATATAAAGGAACCTAAGATCACAAAAAATTAATTGGTTAAGAGTTTAGGAATAAGGAGTGATCACAAATAATTTGATCAATGAAGAGATTTGGAGTGAGAAATGAACTAATGTTAAAAGTGATGCTTTTGACAATGTCATTTACTGTGATAACAAATATGAAAGCATAATGAAGTTATTCTATTTATATAAGTTTATTAAGGGTGTGTTTGGCTGGACAGGAAGAAGGGGGAAGGGTTTAACTTCTGGCTCATGAACAACAAGCAATTGTGCTGTTCATAATTCTGCAAACACTTGACCAAATTATTAGGGGACCGTACCTTGATAGGCCCCCAAATGGACAACAGATAATTTGTACCAATTCGGTTGAGAACCTCAATGCTCCAAAGTAAATTAGCTATAGGGAAGTGAACCCTGCTTTTAGAAAGAATAAGGACATGCAAGAAGTGTTTAAAATAGAAGCAACTAGTCAATTTCAACTAGCCAAGGGCCACACGCTTCAATCGAAATCATACGAGAAGTGAAAGACATTGGAATGTCAAGAACTGACCGAGAAACACAACTTTCTTATTGTCAGGATTTTAGTGAAAGGGATAATTCCTAATAAGCAAGGACATTTAGAGTCATCTCAGCTTCCCCAGGTGTATGACACAGAGAAGCTGAGGCTTAGTAAATGGGTAATAGAGGTAAAATGTGACGCTTATCACTAATTTTGTTTCCCTGAATGCTATAATCAACACCCACTTCATGCATGTAAGTATAACAAAAAGGTACATACCTGAATGGCTAGAAAAGCAGCCATGCACATGCAGTTCCCTATCAAGCACAGAACCCCAAGATGAAAATGGTCTAATCCAAGATCCTGTAAACCCCCAATTAACCATCCAGAAGGCTCAGGCTGACCTCTGGCACTTATTTCATTTTGTGCTACATGATCATGTTCAGCATATCCTATCAAAACTGAACCACGATACAAAACCATCAATATGGCACCAGAAACACAGATAATAGTTCCTCCAACTTTTGCCAGACCATCATATTTGAGTAAGTTCACTCTTTCTGTGCTGCATGAAATGGTTTATACAGATACGCGTTACTGTATGTCCTGATGAATCTGAATAGCTTTATTGATGTACACATTTCTGCACTGCCAGTAAGAGTGTGCATTTTTGTTTCTGTGTTCTAGGACACACACACACACACATACAAGTTGAAATTGATAAATGATACGAGTGAAACTGACCCCATCATTACAGCCAACAGAAATGTAAAGACAGGAATGGCTGGCTGCGTGGCAGCAGCATAAGTTGGATTAGTATAACTTAAACCAATAAGAAACAAAAGCTGGTTGCCAAATATCCTGATCACGAATCAAGAAGTAAAGTTACCACATGCACCAATAAAACACTGTAAATAATGGAATTAGATACAAAAGTGAGTAAGTATCAAGAGCCTCACCCAGTTAATCCAAGAAAGAAGAATGACATCAGGAGGTTCTTAGTAATGGGTGGTCGTATCCGTCTACAGTCAAGATGGTATGATTCATACATTAGAGATTTTTTTTAATAATATGATAAGACTTAGAGGGAACAAAGTTGCAAGTTGAACTTCTACATCTGAAGTTTGAATGTGTAGCAGTAGTACAGTTAAATGAACAGGGGAGATACTAATTTATGCTTGCCAAACAATCAAAATTAGCACTCATCTTCGTATAAGATAATGATGGATGTCTAGAGTCATTAACGATAAACAGGCATTCACATTTCTAGAACCATATTTTATATGATAATTAATTACCTCAAAGTAATGTAAACAAAAGGATAGGCTATATGATATTAGTTAAATACTGAGGATGCTCTAAATTAGCAAGCAGAAAGATCCAGATATCAATGAACACAAGTTTATATTATCATCCAATTAGGATTAGGATTACCCTACAACCCCAACTCCAATGATCAACAAACCGTAGGATACAGAAAGGGTAGTACAGCACATAATTCACATGCACTATGTTAAGTACATCGATATAAGAGCACCAAATCATGTAAACATAGAGTAACCCAGTTCCCCTTAAGTGTTGCAAACATCGCTGACAATAAAAGGCAAGAACCCTCCAAATTGGGAAATGCAGAAAAAAATATAAAAAAAGTGTTTTAGCATCCAATTCCAAGTGATTGACATCTGCTAGAAATAAATGAAAATAAAATGATCCACAAAACTCAAACTTTTTAGAAGGGGCATCAAAGAAAAAAGAGTAAAAGTAGAAATTCCAAAGTCCAATGGTTGATGTGAATGAGCGTACTTTTCACGGATAAAAGCAAGGGGTGCGAGGATAGCAAGGGCAAGAAGATCGCGAAAGACACAGAAGACTAATTGGTTGATGCCAACATTAAGGGCCACTTTGGTGATGACATGGTAACCGCCATTGAATAGCTGAACCATAGCCATGCCCAAATGGGCCTTCCATGTGTCACCCCCCATTGATCCTGAAGCTGTTGCCATTGGAATTCTCTATCTTGCTCTCTGCAACTCCCTCACACAATTCACCGTGAAAGAGAGAGAGAGAGAGAGGAAATGGGATGGTTGGTTCGTTGGAACAGTGATTGGATTGGAACACCAAACCTTATGCTTCGTTCCTAAGCCACAGACAAAATGACAAGGGGATAAAAGAAATGAAAAACACAATTTTTGATCAAATTTCTGGGTTCCGAAGCTCCGATTTATGGTAGTTGATGTTGGGATGACCTTATTTTTTATTTATTTTTTTGATAAATGGGATGACCTTATTAATAACAATAATTCACAATGATCGTATAACATAATCTTACAAATCCTCCTACTTTCTATTTAAAGAAAGAATTCAATATATTTTATATTTAATTTTTTTAACCTGTATCAAGATAAATTGTATTAAAAATTACAATAAAAAATTACTAGAAGAGTATAAACTCACCAAAAAGACACAATATAAATAAATTTCATTTAAAAATCACATAATATTATTAAATTTAATGTATTAATAATAATGAATATTATAATTTTAAATTAAAATTTATTATTTATTAATTTTTATTGTATTATTTTAAATACATGTTAAAATAATTATTTTGTATTTTTAATACATTAAATACATTTAAATTTTCCTTTAAGACTCACTTAATAAAATATTGAAAAGATTAATAAAAATGTGTTACAAAAAATATAGCATTACTATATTACTATAATAATAATAATAATAATAATAATAATAATAAATGGTGGAAATGATTATGAATGATAAAAAAAGAAAAGAGTAAATACTTTGAAAATATTGAAACACTTTGATCCTTAGAAAAAAAATAATTATTTTAGTTCTTAAAAATTGTAAAAATTAAACACTTTACTATTAGATAAAAAGATTAAAACGTCTAAAAAAAAAGTAAATAGATTACGGTGAAAATTTTTAGAAACTAGATTTTTTTATTTAAATATTGTAAAATTAAAAATAAATTCTTAATTTATTATTTTTGTAAAGCTATTTTTTATCTAGAGTGTATTAGTGCATGTGGCAATAGTTTCATCAAAATAGCTGGCAAAATTTTTTAAATAAATTTTGCTACCAAAAATGCAAAATAACTATATTGTAACATATGTTAGTATTAGCATCAGCGTAATTTTATAATATGATTGACAAAATTAAATATTAATTTTGTCTTACACAGCACATGGATATCTTTAGATACTAATTATGATTACATTAAAATTAAAAAAAAATTACTAACATAATACAAAAAAATATTTTTTATATTTATATTCAAATTACTATTAAAGAATATGTGCAATAGATATCTTTTTGGGCCATCAAAAATATCTTTTATTTTTTTAAAAGTGTGCAAAACAATTCTTTATTATAATTACGTTAGTAATTTAGATTTTTTTAATAAAGAATTAATATTATTTTGTATGAAAATATAAAAAAATTGTATTATGTTAGTATTTTTTTAATTTCAATATAATCGTAATTGGTATTTAATGATAAAAATTTTAATTATGTTAGTAATTTAAATTTATTTATTTAAGATGTAATTTAGATTTGTATGTAAATAAAAAAATATTTTTTAGTATTGTTAGTAATTTAATTTTTATTTTAGATGTGGTAATGATTTGTATATAAATTTAAATTAGATTTTATTTGATTATATTATTAAAATTAATGAAAGTAAATTCCCGCAATAGGCTAAAATTGTGTTAGGTGTGAGATTCTTTCAAGTTATGTAATTTTCATGACAAAATTTATTAAAATCATGACACATGTCACTATATAAAAGTTTCACGTTGTGTATAGCAAAACTAATATTTAATTTCGTTAATTATGTTGTAAAATTACCTTGACACTGACACATGTCATAATCTGTTTATTTTGTGTTTCTGATGGTGAAATTAGTTTTTTAAAATGTAAAAATTCAATATTTTTGGCAACAAAACTATTGACATGTGGACTGACACATGTCTCAAGAAAATAGTTTCAGAAAAATAATAATTAAGAATTTGTTTTTAATTTTACAATATTTAAATAAAAAAGCCCAAAAATTGAGTTATATATATTATTTATAACATCAATTTTTGTTTTTAAAAAAATCAACTTTATTATTTTTAAACTTTAACAAGTATCTCGTTTTTTATTTTTCTAATGTGATTTGACACTGTTGGCATTTATTTAAAATAATGAATTGACGCAAATTAATGCAGATCATGAAGGAGTTGCCGTTTCCTCCAATCATGGTCAAGGGCTTCATCCCATAATTTCTAAATTGATTATTTGTTATGGCATTAAATACACATATTTAGAAGAAAAAAAGGTTCTGCCTCTACTTGAACTATAGAACCAATGTATTGTTATGTGTGAAGCTTGAGCATTGTTATCAGTGAAATTATAATATATGTTTTGGAAGAAAATGTTACCAGTGGGATGCTTAAATTAAATCAAAATGATATAACTTATGCGTGATATAGTTTGGGCAATTGTGAATTTAAAATTACTTATTTTAAAAAAAAAAACTTAAACTAGTTTATAATCTGCATTATGTAAAATAAGAAATATATTTAAATTTATGTAAGAAAAAAGTCAAATAAAAGTTATTTATTTTTTAAAGAGAAGATGAAAATACTTAACTAAAGAACGAATGTCATTGAAAGTACTAAAAATTAAAGTTATTGATATAGATAATTTTGAGGATATAATAATATCATATTTCAAAATTCAGATATAACATTGCATTTAAAATTGACAGTTTGTCCTCAACATTCCACATTAACATTATCAAACACAGATTTACCAATTAAGGGATAGCAATAACAGATTCAAGAATCATGAGACCAATTTTTACAACGTATTGGCATTCTATAATTCATTTTCTTAATCTGATGACTTTGGGTCTAAGGATACGCTGGAGGATCCTGAAGAAATGTGACCTTTTTGGTTTCCACCTTTTTCAGGAATAAGTGGTTCAGACATCCAAGAGCCATGAGTAGCAACTCCAGTACTTGCTTGTCTTTCTCTATAAGATGCCCAAGTTACTATATATAGACCAGCAATGATAAAAGATCCCCCTATGATGCTGTTATCACATGGATAAAAATTAAGACTAACAAAAAAAGGCTGTTAAATATCACCTCTCATTTTATTTATAAAAAAAAATTATTGGTATTATTTTCTTAATTATAAGAAATAAATACTTATTTATAGATACATTAATTACTAATTCTTTTATATCCTTATTTAATGTAAGATTTATCTTAAAAAACATTTCCTCATTGCCTGTACAAGTAGATATATATTCTTTCATTTTTAAAATACAGTAAACATAGAACCAAAAGTAATAAAATAATTCAGAATGTGATGTTATAGAAACTTCATTAAGTTCAACTAGATATGGTATTATCTGAAGTACTAACGGATAAAATTGTTTCCAAAAATGAATTCGTGGATTCTATCTGTTTTTCGTTAATGTTGTACCCTTCACGGTGAGTAGGTTTGTAGCAACTTGGACAAGTTAGAATAGAATGCATCACAATTGGAAGTAATAGAAGCTATACCTTCCCAAGTAAATTGGACTTCCAAGGAAAATTTGGGAGAAGGAGGCAGAAAATGCAGGTTGAAGTGGATTATAAAGGGCAACCAAAGCTGGTCCCAAGATCTTGTTGCTCCATGTAACGAGTCCATAGTTAAGGGCAGATGCAACAGTTCCCTGAACAATAAGGAAATTTTTGTCAAAATCTACACGTTGAAAACCACCAAAATAATCAGTTAGAAGATAAACCAATTACAAAATTTGTAAGAACTGAACATGGGATACTTGTAATTTTTTCATCCTTAAGAAGAAAATCTCATTACTTTACTCCAATAGTTTGCATTTCTGCATTTATATTACCCAAATACAATTTTTAGTTACTTATTGATGTATTTTTGAGTTTTGCTTCCATTTTAATGTGTGTTTGGATTCACGTTAAAATATCTATAAATGTGATCTATGGTAGAAGTTATAACTAGAAGCATTAACTAACACATAAATCCATGGTCAGTATATGAAACCAAACATGGACTTAGAACTAAATGCTGACCCATCACAGCAAAATCCTATCTTATTCTCAGGTTTAAACTATTGGTACTGCCAGATAGAAACAGTATTGTGGCTTTTGCTGATAAGGCCAATGCCACGTTGACTTGATTAGGTTAGCCTATCTATGTTGTTCATACAAATGAGATGGGACAAGGACATGTCTTGTGTGTCTATCAATAATATGCTTTCAAACTAAACAATGAAAATTGGATATTTTTTAACATTATTGCCTCTATCAATTATATGCTGCTGAATTAGGGAAAAACTATATCTGCCTGTCATTGTCTGTCTCGGAACTTGATGATAAATATATAGATAACTTGATTTAAATTGTCCTTAAAAAAAACTGCTAGACACGACAGGGCTAAAAAAATCATTAGCAATAAAAAACTAAAGTTAGAACATGCAACACAACCATTGGTTATCATATAGCCCCAACAAATTTATTATTTTCTTTTCTTCTTTTATTTAAAACCTACTACATGTTAGTAAATGAACAAAGCCACAAGAACTGAAATTTCAAATTTAGACCATACATACAAAATAGAAAAAAAAAATGTAATTTCTATTATTGTATTTGAATGATGACATGATGTTTGTGATGTGTCATGTCTGAGCCATTGTCAACTAACAACACAATAAACAATGAAAATAATAAGCCAAGGCCAAGTTAGAAGACAACTCAAATAATTGCATGAAGTAAAATGGACCAAATGACCAGCAATGACATAAGGGTTCATGAGATTGGAGATTGATTTAAAATTCTAGTGACTCACAGCATATACAACAGCTAGTATTTCTGATTTTGTCAAAATCCAGTCGCTTGACTCATTAACCATGAAGAATGATACAATCACCATCAATGCAACTCCAAAGAAGAATGAAAATGCTGTGACAGATAGATTTGCAGGATATTGTTTTAATACTGGTGCCTGAAAAAAATTGATGCCAATAAATTAAACACGCCAACAATCTCATGATTAAGAGAACCAAAGATCACAATAAATCACTTCACAAAAGTTGAGGAGAGAGCACAACTAACCTGATCAATGGAGAGATTTGGAATGACCTAATGTTAAGATTGCTGCTTCTAGCAATAAGTCATTTAATTTAATAACAAGTATGAAAGGATTGGGGTAATCAAAAGGAAAATATGAAAACTTGTGAACTTGTCCAATGTCAAAGCATGAGAGTCCATAAAGAACACATTCCAAATAAAGGGAAATGGGAGAAAAAGTGTGTGAATTTACAAAGACCAAGTTCCAAAGGGTTTGTTTTAAAGAAGATCTTGATGTAAATCATCATACATGATGTGGAAAGGATAATTCCAAAAGAACTATTAGAGTCATTCCAGCCTCCCAGGTGTACAATAAATAGAAGCAGGGTCATAGTAAAGGGGGTAATAGAGGCAAGAAGTGATATCATCACCAGTTTTTCCTTAATGTTATAATCAACAGTCATTTATGGATTATTATTTGAAAAAACATCCTTCAATGAATTAAAAAAAAATGTAGATACCTGAATGGCCAGAAAAGCAGCCATGCAAATGCAGTTCCCTATCAAGAATACAACCCCAATTTGAAATTGCTCTAATCCAAAATCCTGTAGACCATTGATTAACCATCTAGAAGGCTCTGCCAGACCTGTGGCACCTGTTTCAATTTGCACAACATTGTCCATTTCTGTGTATCCTATCACAGCTGGACCACGATACAAAACCATCAATATGGCACCAAAAACACAGATAAAAGTTCCTCCAATCTTTGCCAGACCTTCATATCTGCGCAAGTTCACTGTTTCTATGCTGCATGAATAAGTTTATTAAGCTACACATAACTTCATGTCCTGGTGTATATGAATAATTTCATGAATGTAAATATTTCTGTACTACAATTATGAATGTGAATTTGCGTCTATGAGAAAAAATATGAATTAATGATGAATTAAATAAATTTTATATATTAACACACACCTACATAAAACACTAAAGTTAAGGGAAAAGTGTGAAACTAACCCCATCATTACTGTAAACAGAAATGTAAAGACTGGAATCGCTGGCTGTATGGCAGCAGCATAAGTTGGATTAGTATAACTTAAACCAATAAGAAACAAGAGCTGGTTGCCAAATATCCTGATCATGAATCAAGTAAAAAAAAAAAATACCATATTCATCAATAAAACACTTCTACCCCATTCACATCGCAAAATTTGGAAATAAGTGACTATAGCAAGAAATATTACCCAGTTAATCCAAGAAAGAAGAATGACATGAGTAGCTTCTTAGTAATGGGTGGTCTTGTATGCCTACAGCCAGCATGGTAAACATGTATAATTAGGATACTCACTCACTATAAATACAAGAATATCACGACTCATAGGAGGGCACAAAAAGGTTTCATGTTGAAATTCCACTAACAGGAAGACACAACTGGTTTTATATTACATATTTAACAATTAAGATTATGCTGCAGCAGCACAGGCCTCATGTAAAAAGGTGTTTAAGCATTCAACCTAACTGACACCAAATGGAGGGAGAAAAGAAAATGAAACCCCACAAAATTAAAAAACCTCTTTTGACTTTAAGGTGAACCATATCTTTAAAATGCTGCATCAAATGGATAATAAAAAGAGGAAAAAAGAGCATGCCTTTCACGAAAATAAGCAAGAGGGGTTATAATAATGAGGGCAAGGAAATCTCTGTAGAAGCAGAAGACTAATTGGTTGATTCCAACATTAAGTGCCACTTTGGTGATAACATGGTAGATACCATAGAATAGCTGCACCAGTGTCATGGCCACATGTGCCTTCCATGTATCACTCCTCATTGATACCACCATTGATTCTGAAGCTGTTGCCATCAGAGTATGTTGCTCTCTCCAATCCCCGAACACAGAAATCCCAGTGAAAGTGAGAGAAAGAGAGAAAATTCGGTGCTTGGTTCGTTGAAACAATTATGGGAAAACCAAACTTGATGTTTGGTTTCAAAGGTACATACAAATTAACAAGAAAAAACAGAACAAAGAGTGCAGAGCTTCTGTCTTAGCCTGCTTTATTATTGATTTTGATCAATTTTCTGACTCTGACAAACAATAACTCCTATCTTAATGTGTGGCGGGGACCCGTTTAATATATAAAATTAACAAAAGGCGGAAATTATTTGGAAGATTAAAAAAAATTGTCAACGACTTTTTCAATATATATAAATTAATATAGGATAAAAACTCATTAACAATAAATTTTTATTAAAATTTTTAGTATTTATGCATTGACTTGTATTAATTTTTATAATTTTAAATAAAAATTTATTATATATAATTTTTTATGATCTATAATATTATATATATTAAAAAAATTGAATTATTAAAGCAAATGTCAATTTGTTGAAAAATAAAACAAAGTGATGATAATTTTGTATTTTTTATACTTTCGTATTTTGATAGTGTTATTAAATAAATATTTATGCATTTTTGGTATAATAAAATTTATTTTTTAAAAAAATTATATTTAATATTATAACATTATTTTTTATTTATAAAAATAATTATTAAATTTTATATTCTTATTTATTGTAAAAATTATGTTAACAAGGTATTCCCTTTTTACTAATAAAAATTAATAAATACATTCATTTAATATATTATATTCTAATTTGATTATTTACTATGATAAGTATTTTTAAAAAGATATAAATTTATGATATATAGTTATTTTTATATTAATAAATTTAAATTTTATTTTCTATCAATAAAATTGAAAGTAATATATTATTAAAATAAAAAATTTAATTTTAATTAATAAATTATATTAACGATAGCTAACTATTACCTAATCTTTGTACTTGCATGAGGCGCTTCTGTGCGTTGGATAGAGATAACATCAAATCCACTTATTTTGTTGATGTCATCGTGAGCTGTGAGTTGTGATCCCAAACCAACCATAAGACCCAACGACAAGAAATGGTTATTCTCAGTCCCTTTCTGCTTGGCTCTTTGTTCTGACGTAAAATAGAACTATAAATGCATTAAAGTTATTTAAAGTGATTGATCAATATTTAGTAATTAAAATCATAAATTTCTTAAAATTCACTCCCTCTAGCGATATTGTAGGTAGTTTTCTCTTGAAAAGTCAAGAGAGTTAATTAATGATTATCATTCAATAAATACTAATTATAATTTACTCTTTTAAGGTCATTTGGATTTATTTTTTTTTCAAAATTAGTTCAGAAGAAAGGAAGTTGTCATGATTATGTTCCCAAGAATTGGACCAAAACAGGTTCAAATTGCTTATTTGAACGACGTACGTGTGCAAAATTATGTAAACTGAAAATTGTAAAAATGTGAATCACTTTTTAGTGCAAGTTCCACAACTGAGAATTTAACTTAAGATCTGATGATTAATTCAAATGGTGGCAACGAATACCAACCATTAGTTATGTTATTTATAATACCCTTATTGTTATACATTTTTTGGGTACAATTTTGATAACTTTTTTTAGTACTAATCGATTGAACTAATGACCTACCACCTCGATCGAATATGATTGAGTCAAGTATGACAACAATGGTCATGATGTTACAAGCTTAATAAGTACCTATAAATTTATTTCTTAAATTTATATCCTATCAATAAATTTATTTAAAAGTTAATTTTAGAGTAATGCCTTTAAATAGGCCATTAAACCATTAAAGTGTCATCCTAGGAATTTCATCGACTTGACACATCCTAGTCTATGATTGATATTTTGGCCATTGATTTGACACGGATAGGGTAAGCTCATCAAGTTATCGAAAAGTAATTACTAAATATTAATAGGGTGTTTTTAGGCCAAATTAATCTCAGTAACCTAAGGATAGATAACTGGGAAATACCCAAATGATCCACAATGTAATAGAAATAATAAAGCAATTTTAGTACTTGAAAAGTTAATATTAAATAGTCTAATATTTGGTCTTAATTCAATGAAGAGAAATAATATTAGAACACATGTTTATCTTTACAGGTCATGAGACACTAATCACTTGACCAACCACCTTAACTTATGTAGCTTAACAGTTAATGATAAGAGAGGTTCGCTATGCTTCATCTTTCAAAATTAATCGGTGCTTTAAGAAAAGAGAGACCATGTCAACGTGAATTACAGAATGCTTATTGATTGATCATTATTAGCTTTACGTGTACTCCAAATGTATTTTTTAGTTGATAAAAGATAATTTTAAAATCGTAAATTATTGCATAATTTAATTCAAAATATTCACAAATAAAAAATGAGACACCTGAAATTTTTAATATTTTATTAAAAAAATGAATTATTATTATTGGTGAACCTTACAAAATGAATTTAAATTATTATCCGTGGGAGTAAAGGGCATGGCTGGTTAGGCAGGCACAAACCGAGTTTTTATTTGCCACCAGACTTAAAGCGTACTCTGTAACACCGTGAAAAGGAGAAAAGCCTTTCCCTAACGCTACAGTGAAACAATTAAATTTTCAATATTTTTATAATATCTATTTTCTTATAGATATTTTTCTTTATTTATCTATTTTTTATTTTTTTTATAGAAAAAATATTAAATTTGAAAAATAAAAACCTTACACATTCCCCTGCTTTTTTAAGGAAGCGAATACATACTCTATGAGTATTATTGAAAAAAAAGAAGCTTTAGCAATATTAAAAAATAATTTTTCTAATAAAAAAAATAATGTTTGCTATGGTGTCGCTAAATTGGTGATTAAGATTGTTTTAATATTTTAAAATTAAAAAATATTTATATTTTTTTAACGATAAACCACTAAACTTTACTATTTATTATAAATATTTAATATAATATTAATAATTATTATTATTACACATGTGAAAAGATATTATATATTCTCTTAATTTTCAAAGCACAGTAAAAATATTTAAAAGAAATTATATGAAATTCATTGCAAGAAGAGGCACTAAAGTGGATGCGGAGGTTACTTTTTGCATTTTTTTCACTTTATTAATTTTTTTATATACCTTTTTTTCTTAAAATACTCTTGACAATGATTTTAATTGTTATCTTTAATTTTCATTTCAAATTTTGGAATAACTTTTTTTCTCTTTTAATATTTCACTCTTCGTCTCGACTGAAATTTCATTTTTCTTCTTAATTGATCCGAGCTACTTTATTTCTTCGTTACCATCTTCTTGAACGTATTTCAAATGTATTCTCCAAAGACATCTATTATTTTAAACGTATTATAAAAAGTTTAATTTATTATAAAAGAAGTTTTTAGAATTAAATTTTATATTAATTTACAGAATTAAGTTTTTCACTTCCAAAAAATAAATTTTGGAATTATTAACCATTTCCAAAAGTAAGTTTTAAAATTAAGATTTTACACTTCCAAAATTTAATTTCTGAAATTTAATTTTTATACTTTCAAAAATTAATTTATAGAATTCTCAACCATTTTCAAAAATAAGTTTTATTCTACAATTTCATAAATTAATTTTCAGATTTAAGATTTTACACTTTGACTATTTCCAAAATAAATTTTCACAAATAAATTCAGATTTAAAATTTAGCACTTTTGAAAATTAATTTTCAATTTTTTAAAATTAAAATCATATAGTTTCAAAAATTAAATTTTGAAAGTACAAAAACATATTTTCTAAGGTACAAAAACAGAAAAACAAACAAAAAGCAGTGCAGAAGAAGCCCAACTTCCAGAAAGGGGTTCTCAACAAAACCCGCAACCTAATTGTTCATTTGTCTTTTCAAGGTCCATTCTGTCATTCTGATTGCCGTTATGTATTTCCTTTTTCATCAAACGGAAATATCTGTAGTGCACCAAAAAAAACACCCGGAAATATCTGTTGACCAAAAACGCAAAGTGGAAATCTATAGTCTTCCGGACGGAGAACTCGTTCGCTGGGCCAAACCAATTCCTGGGGCCCAAGCAAGGGGAAGTTTATGACGCACTATTCTGATTAGCTTCAATTCAGAAATTTCAAATGCATTTCCGGTAATCTAATCGTGTGAGAATATCTAATTCGGTCGTCTACGACAACAATAATAGAATTTCAATATAGTATCCCAAAGTGAAGTAGATCACAAATTATTTGTTGTATAGCAATACAATCGCAAATGGGAAAGAAAGCGAACGAGACAGATAGAAAGGTTATTTACGTAATTAACATACACAATGAGCATTGAGCAAGAGGTCGGAGCTAAACAAATCCATAGAACTTATATCCCTAATATAGTTCTTATCTGATCGGGAGGATGCCTTGCCAACGACCTGGGGTCTGGATAACCATTCTTGGGATCCATAATAGCTTTATAAATAAGCTCATAAGCTTCGGCCAGTGATCTGGCTACGCCTATAGAAGCTTCAGAACGCAACCTTGGAACTTGCATCTGCTCAAATTCAGGTAGGGAACTTTCACTTCCCAAAATAAAACCAAATAGAGCTTTCAAACTCTCTGAAAGAATGGCTGGACTTGTGTCCTCCATCTCAGCCAATGGGGTACCAACTTCACTGTCTCTTTCCCTGTGGATCGAATTATGGAACAAAGGCATTTTTTCTGACAAATTACATCTTCTTAAGATTGCATCAGCTTCTTTTTCCACAAGAACACGCAAGTGATTATCAATCATTGCTCCAAGCCTTTTCACGTAATCAGTTGCAACCTCATATCCAGATAGAGGTTGTTGAATAGCACATAGGCAGTTAATGAGAAAGATCTTTGAAGGGGTTTCACTTGTCTGCCAAAACATGATCTAGGTTAAGCATAACAGTAAGTTATAAAAGGTTGACCATGTTATGTTTCAATTTATGTTTAAGATCTCCCATTAGTTCCTTCCATTTTATACCTGAAATTATGCAATATGGGACTTCATTTCTTGGTCTACATAATTTTGCATTTACAACGTGACACATTTCTTTGAGAAAAGTTCCAGTAAAATTAAGATTATTTCAATTTCAATCTAGATTCCAAATAAAATTTCCATTTAATTTCTTGCAGGACTGATCTTAAAAGTAGTAGATTTAGACTCATGCACCAGCACAGGCCAATTAAGAGCACCACTCCCCGTTCCACATGATCACATAATCGCAGAAAGTTAGGATTTTTTAGTTTTGC